ACTATAATCGTTGTCACAAAAATGTTTGTAGCACACTTGCAACTGTTGAATTTCACGTTCATCTACTTGCTGTATATGTAAATTGTCTAACCACAACTTGCGACGTTCACGATTTTTCGGGAATGAATGGGTTGGTACATTACTCCCAGATTTACAAGTAGAAACGCAACATGTTCTACCCATCTTTAATGTTTATTAAAATGTAACAAAAGTGATTTAACAACTGCACAATGTAGTCGCGTATGGTCGCGTATAACTAACGGCAAAACGTTTTGAAACGTGTTCACACGTATTCACTTACACATTCGTATTTAGTTCATATGCCAGGTACGTTATTATAGAAAGCGCCACTAACGCTGGTACACACAGTTTGGTGGCCCTGATTATACCTGTGGTGCAACATTATTGTTCCTCAAAATCATGTTTATAAATTGTTGTCGTACAGTTGCAGTTGTATCACTTCTGCCTTTTTTATTTATTCTTTGATGACGTTTATTGGTTAATTTGATAAACGCGTCTCTTTAGACGTCTTTTCTCTGCTTTTAATTGTACAATTTTTTCATAGAATTTTTTGGCTTTTGGGGACAATAAATGTTTTCTGCTTATTTCACCAAGATCAGGTCTTGCACATCTTGGACTTTGTTGAAGGATTGTATTTTTTAACTGTTCAATTTGTTTTACTAACTCAACTTGATGCTGTTGCAGTATTATTCTTTGTTCTGCCAATTCTCGTTGCTGTTTTTCTATCTGATGTGATATCTGTTCTTGATGCTGTTGCAGTATTATTCTTTGTTCTGCCAATTCTTGCTGCTGTTTTTCTATATGATGTGATATCTGTTCTTGATGCTGTTGCAGTATCATTTCTTGCTCTGCCAATTTTTGTTGCTGCTCTGTCTGCTGTACTATCTGTTCTTCATGCTGTTGAAGTATTATTCTTTGTTTTGTCAATTCTTGCTGCTGATTCTTCAGTTGTTGGTGTTCAACAGTTTTTGTGTTTGCTGTAGTTTCATCTGATGGAATATGTAATGTCGGAATTGCAGTGTTTTTTAAAACACGTCTTGTTGGGGCACAACTATAATCGTTGTCACAAAAATGTTTGTAGCACACTTGCCACTTTTGAATTTTACATTCATCTACTTGCTGTATATGTAAATTGTCTAACCACAACTTGCGACGTTTACGATTTTTTGGGAATAAATGAGATGGTACATTACTCCCAGATTTACAAGTAGAAACGCAACATGCTCTACCCATCTTTAATGTTTATTAAAATGTAACAACAGTTTAACAACTGCACAATGTAGTCGCGTATAACTAACGGCAAAACGTGTTGAAACGTGTTCACACGTATTCATTTACACATTCGTATTTAGTTCATATGCCAGGTACGCCTTATTATAGAAGGCGCCACTAACGCTGGTACACGCAGTTTGGTGGCCCTGACCGCTTTGCAACTGCTGGAATCTGCTGAACGCGACCCATAGACTTATATATAAATAGACCCAGCGTTCTGTGAGAGGAGTTGTCCGCGTCTTCTAAAGGACGGAACAATATGCATCCAGGTGCTGTCTCCGTCGCTCCGCCGGTCTGGAGGGGGAACATCGATGGATAACGTTGAAGGAAAGCGAACTTAAAGGCGCGTGTACCGCACTTATATGTGTTTTGCTCGAAATTCTTCTGACCGTGGTATGCTTGAAAAAAAAGTTTCTATTA